CAAAAGAAAAATAGTAAAACAATAAAAAAGGAAGCAAGAGAATAGACAATGGAAGCTAAAAGAAAATGAAGAACTTTAAAGCAAACTAGATAGTAGTATTAGCAGAAAGTAACTTACATACCGAAATAGCTTTACAAACTAGGAGCTGGAAGATCAACTGGCCAGCATCGGAGTAGTAGTACTACTCCACACCTTACACACTTATCTTACAAACATCCAAAAGAGAAAACTTCAAAGCAAAATTCACTCAAATTTAAAAGAAAACTAAGAATAGAAAACAAGAGGAAGCTCTAAGAGATTTTCTCTCTTCATTCTCCAAAAAGTCTCCCTTAATTTCATGAACTTCATCTAGTTTTATAGAGTTTTTTAAGATACTATGCTTAGATGCTTTGTCATGATATGTGGGACCTACAATAACAAAGTTTTCAAAATCTATCATGAAAATAGTTTATAGAGTAGCCATTGTAGTATAAGTAGGTAGGGGACACAAATTTTTTCATGCTTAGGTATTCAAGGTGGGAATCTGATGTAGAAATATCAACGTACTGTATGCAGTCTTTTCTGTCGGAATTGTGGATAGTTGCTTCTTTTAGTTGTGATTCAAAATTAGATTAGAGTTTATTATCTTAAACTAGAAAAATATATTGGTTAAAATGATTGACTTGATTCTTAAGTCGCTAGGATTAATTAGAGTTTTACCATAATTTAATGGCATGTCACATATTTTCCCATGTATGAGTTATTTCCTCTGTCAAATCACCGTTGATTGATATCCCATCTAAAGAAGGGAGTTCATTTTCTTAGTAGTGTCTTGCTGCCATAAAAATGTCCTATACTTCTCTTATTTCTGGACCAATTGGTTTATTGGTCATCCATCATTCTACGACTACTTTGGTTGCCATTGTCTGAGAAATTTCTCCCGTATTAATGTTTATGCAGATAATTCGAAGCCCATCTGTCATATAATATGCATAATATTCGATTAAATATTCAAGTTTTTTTATACAAGTGGATGATAGTTTGGAAACAATCCAACCCTATGTCATAGCATTTTTCATGAAACAAATTGTGGGAATGAAGTCTTTGAGATCGTAGAAATTTTTCATATCTACAAACTTGGAAAATATTCAAAGCGGCTTCTCTCATGTAATTATCTGTAATATTGAATTGAATGTACGCAAGACTCATAGGAGATAGGAAGATAGCTACCTTGATAATGACTGACAATCCTTTAAACCTCACTGGATTGTAGAAAGATGGGGGACCTCTTGTAATTCTTAATTCAGAGACAGTTACTGCTTCTATGTGAGGTATATACGTAGGAATTTCATGGAGATTTACAGCAAATCTAGGAGAGTAATATATTGTAAGAATCGTAAGCTTTGTAATTGTTTAGAAGGAGAATGATATTATTTTCTTCTACTTTTTCCTTCATAACATTTTGAATGTCTTGAAGCAAAATATTTAGTTTGGACCATAATTGCTTTTGGTTTAGACATTTTATCCAGATATTTTCTTGAATGTATTCTGGCACTTCAAGAATTTGAAATATCTCATTAGATGTTGATGTCACCTTACTATTATAAGGATAGCGATAATTAATCTCATATGAAAGATCTATAAATATTTCTCGTACCTGATTATTTGGTTTAATATATTTCTCATCCTTTTCTTCTAGAAGATGGATTAAATGAATCATGTAAACCCTAACTTGCTTTTTCTCTTGAGTACATATACAGTTCCATATATCATTGACGATCATATATGTTGAAATATATGTTATTTCTTATTTCAATGGAGTTGGGCACAAAGGCCCTTTATACACCTAAGGAGCTGAATATGGTTCCTTGATTACAGGATTGGAATCCCTCTAAAATAGCAACTAAGCTATCATAGAAGATATGTACAACTATATAAGATTTGAAAATAATAATCAGATCCTCTAAAAATAGAAACTAATTATAACAAAGAAATAAATCCTAACTAACTCCTATTTACAATGAATCCTAATATTTCTACACCCCCCTCAAGCTGGGGAGTATATATTGATCATTCCCAGCTTGGAGCATAGATTTTCAAATGTAGGCCTTTGGAGAGCTTTAGTTAGGATATCTGCAGTTTGTTGTTGTGATGGCGTATATCCAAGGTTGATGATTTTTGCTTCAATCTTCTCGTTTATGAAATGTCGATCAACCTCAATATGCTTTGTTCAATCATGATGGACAGGAATCCTTGCAATGCTTATAGCTGCCTGGTTGTCGCACAAGAGTGTGATTGACTCTAAGTTCTCAACTTTGAGTTCGTTGAGCAATCTTTTAAGCCACATTCCTTCGCATATTCCTTGTGACATGGCACGATACTCAGCTTCTGCACTACTCCTTGCAACAACGGATTGTTTCTTACTTCTCCACGTGACGAGATTGCCCCACACAAATGTACAGTAACCTGAGGTGGACCTCCTATCAGAGAGAGATTCGGCCCAATCTGCATCGGTGAACACCTTGATTCCTCTATCTGAACCTTTTGTAAATGCTAGTCCTTTGCCCGATGTACTTTTAAGATATCTCAGAATCCGATATGCTGCCTCAATATGTTCCTTTGTAGGGTTGTTCATAAATTGGCTTACAACACTCACTGAGAATCCTATGTCTGGTCTTGTATGGGAAATGTAGATTAGTCTTCCTACTAACCTTTGGTACTGCCCTTTATCTACCGGTGTACTGTCCTGTTTGGATCCTACTTTGTTGTATGGATCTATTGGTGTGTCAGCTGGTTTACTCCCTAGGATTCCTGTCTCTTTTAGGAGATCAATGACATACTTCCTTTGAGAGATGAAGATTCCTTTCCTTGATCTAGCGACTTCCATTCTAAGGAAATACTTTAAATTTCCGAGATCTTTAATCTCAAATTCCCTTGACAAGAGGTTTTTCAGACGGGTAGCTTCTATGTGATCATTGCCGATCAGGACTATATCATCAACATAGACAATGAGAATGGTTTCCTTTGATCCGAGGTGTGGTTGACAAAAAGGGTGTGATCCGCTTGGCATTGAGAGTATATAGTCCCTTTGAGAACCTTAGAGAACCTATCGAACCATGCTCGAGGGGATTGTTTGAGGCCGTAGAGGGGCTTTCTGAGTTTGCATACTTTGCCTTGAGTAACCTTTGTGTTGAAACATGGTGGAATGTCCATAAAAACTTCTTCCTCAAGGTCACCATTGAGGAAGGCGTTTTTGACATCAAGTTGGTATAGCGGCCAATCTAGGTTTGTAGCGATAGATAACAAGACTCTGATGGTGTTTAACTTGGCAACCGGTGCGAAAGTCTCTTGGTAGTCTATTCCGTATGATTGAGCGAACCCTTTAGCTACCAAACGCGCCTTGTATCTCTCAACTATCCTATCAGCCTTATATTTAACAGAGAATATCCATTTGTAGCCTACTGTTCGTTTTCCTGGAGGAAGATCTGTAATCTCCCATGTCTGGTTCTTCTCTAAAGCCTTGATTTCTTCAAATGTGGCATCCTTCCACGCTGTGATTTCTAGAGCCTCATGAACAGAGGTGGGAACCTGAATTTCATCAAGTCTAGACACAAATACGGTAATTGGGTGACAATTCCTTATAAGATATGAAATTTTTTATTGGATGTGAAGTGCAGGTCTGAACCCCCTTCCTTAGAGCAATAGGTAGTTCCGAATTATCAACATTAGTAGATTCACTAGGAAGCATACCTTGAGATTCGTCAGGAGTGGGACTCGGTTGAGACTCATGGCACTGTTGGGATTGTACAGTTTGTACTTCCTTATCCTCTTTCCTTCTTCGAGAATAGACAAGGGGTTCTTTTTGAGGACTAAGATGTGTGTTTCTTGGTTCTGTTGGTGAAGTTTGGTCTGCTGAAGGTTGAGTGAAACCTGTTTGGACAGGTTCAGGCACGTGTTGAGAGAATTGGAGCTATTTGGATTGTTTCGGTAGGAATTGAAGAAAGGACTTGGAATTGAATTGGCTCAGTGTGAATACCTTCACTCATGAGAGGATGTTCTGTTATATTTCCCTCCTGAACAGCCGTGTAGAATGGTCTGTTTTCAAAGAAAGTGACATCCATGGAGGTGAAAAATTTCCATGCAGAAGGGTTATAACATTTATACCCTTTTTGATTAGGAGAATAGCCGAGAAAGATGCACTTGGAGGCTTTGGGGTCAAGCTTGCTTCTGTGATGTGGATGAATATGTACGAAGACTGTACACCCAAAAATTTTGGGAGATATATCTAAAGATGAGGTGAGTGTGAGGGAAGGACTGTAGAAGAACCTGACATGGGGACTTGAATTTCAAGACACAAGATGGCATCCGGTTAATGAGATAGGTAGCAGTGAGAATTGCATCTCCCCAGAAGTGTTTGGGAACATTGGAAGTGAAGAGAAGGGATCAAGCGGTTTCAAGTAAGTGTCTATTTTACCTCTTGGTAACCCCTTTTTGCTGAGGGGTGTCGACACACGAGCTTTGATGCATAATTCCTTGCTCAGAAAGGTAGTTGCCAAGAATGCTGTTAAAGTAATCAGGGGCATTATCGGTTTTAAGGACTTGGATATTTGTTTGGAACTGAGTTTTTATCATTGTATGAAATTTTATGAAGAGATTTCTGGTTTCTGATTTTTCCTTCATTAGAAATACCCAAGAGAGACGAGTATGATCATCCACAAAAAGTAAAAACCACCTAGCCCCTGTTACATTGCTTACTCTTGTTTTTCCCCAAATGTCACTATGTATTAAAGAAAAAGGGTGAGCTTGTTTGTGTGATTGAGGTGAATAGATTGCACGGGTATGCTTTGAGAATTGACATATATCACACTGAAACAATTGAGGATTTTTATTTCTGAATAATGAGGCGTACAATCGAGATAGATAAATAAAATTGGGATGACCTAGACGATAATGTAAATTCATGATCTCACTATCTTTATTTGAATTGAAACAAATAGACTATTGTTGGTCTTGACCTGATACGGAAAGACTGGTTGCGTGGTTGGTTGACTCGAGGTGGGTATGGCCGGTGGAGTGACTTGAATCTGGTTGTATTTTAAGGTGGTACAGACCTGCACGGATCTCAACATTGCCAATCATCTTCCCCGAGTCCAAATCCTGAAAAACACAAGTGTTGGCACGAAAATTAGTTGTGCAGTTACTATCCTGAGTGAGTTTACTAACAGATAATAAATTGCAAGTGAGATTAGGAACAAAGAGGACTGATTTGAGAGTGATATTCGGTGACACTATGATGGAGCCGAGGCCTGTTACTTTGGAGTTGCTTCCATCGGTAATACGAACAAATAAGTTTGAGGAGCACGATTTTAGATCATCAAACAACTGTAAGTTTCCTGTCATGTGATCTGAGACGCCGGAATCCACTATTCAGGATTGTGAAGATTCATTTAAAACAGTAAAGGCTGCTGGTTGAATACCTGTTTGAGCAATATTTCCTGTACTTGAAGTTGAAGAAATCAGAGAGGAGGATTGTTGCACTGAGTTAAACATCTTTTGCAGCATCTCCATCTGTTCTTTGCTGAATGGACGTGTCCCGGCTTGAGGAGGATCAGTTGTGGAAACCAAGTGTCCACGGCTTTCATAGTCATTAGCCTTGCGTTTTGGTTTCCAATCGGCAGGCTTCCCGTGCAGCTTCCAACAGGTATCCCGGACATGTCCGGGTTTGCTGCAGTGGTCACACCAGGGCCTTCCACTTCTGGGATTGTTTTCATTTGATGATGAGTAATTCCCTCGTGGCCGTGAATTTGAGTTGTGATGTGGGTCCTCGTGCAGTAAGAGCGGATCTGTCAACCTGTGGGTTTGAAGGGGATGTTCCCATCATGACTTTCTTTCGGCTTTCTTCTCTTCGGACCTCTGAAAAGACTTCCCTGATTGGTGGCAGTGGTTTGGTTCCTAGAGTTCGTCCTCGGACTTCATCTAGATCCTTGTTTAGTCCCATAAGGAACTTGAATATTTTTTTTATCTCTGCCATTCTCTAAATTTTAGCCTGGTCTTCAGAGCACTTGCACTCATGGACTTCGTAAAGATCTAACTGTTGCCAGTACCGAGTCAATAAATTGTAATAGGCAGTGACAGATAATTCTCCTTGACGTAAATCATGGAGAGTGCTTTCGATGGCGAATAATTCTGTAGTGTTGTCGTTGCTAGAGTACGTATCTCGGGCTGCATCCCAAATTTCTTTTACAGTTGAGTAAAGAAGAAAATTTCCCCCGATTTCTATGGTCATGGAATTGATTAGCCATGCCATCACCATATTGTTTTCGGATTTTCAGGTTTTAAAACTGGGTTCATCCGGTTTAGGAGCAGCAACAGCCCCCGTGAGGTGATCATCCTTGCCTCGCCCACATATGTACAACATAACAGACTGTGACCATTGGAGGAAATTGTGTCCATTTAATCTATGGATTGTAATGGGAAGAAAACTATCAGAGTTTCCATGGTGATTTGAGAGAGATTGCTTTGGACTGGATGTGACTTCAGATTGGGATTGGGTTTCGGCGGCCATGCCGGACTTTAGGATTGAGAGGGAGAGGCTGATTAGGGTTTTAATTTAGCTCTGATACCATGTGGAAATATATGTTATTTCTTATTTCAATGGAGTTGTGCACAAAGGCCCTTTATACACCTAAGGAGCTGAATATGGTTCCTTGATTACAGGAATGGAATCCCTCTAAAATAGCAACTAACCTATCATAGAAGATATGTACAACTATATAAGATTTGAAAATAATATTCAGATCCTCTAAAAATAGAAACTAATTATAACAAAGAAATAAATCCTAACTAGGATTTGAAAATAATATTCAGATCCTCTAAAAATAGAAACTAATTATAACAAAGAAATAAATCCTAACTAACTCCTATTTACAATGAGAAACTAATTATAACAAAGAAATAAATCCTAACTAACTCCTATTTACAATGAATCCTAATATTTCTACAATATATTAATACTTAATCCTGATGAATCAGAATCATCATAAATAGCAGTTAGCTCAAGGTTATTTTAATTCCTATGAGTTTTCTATTTTTAGAAATTTTTTTTCTCAAGTAGGAATTGAAGAAACTGAGGCACGTCGCTCATCATTAGGCTCAAGAGCGATCATTCTAAAAGATGAAAATTTGACTTTTACATCACCATTGTGATGTTCAACAATTTTTTGAAAGTTAGAATTTTCAGGTGGCTTAGGTTCAACTATTTGATTTAATTTCCAAACAAAAGGAAGTTGAATTTCATTTCATTTTAAGGTATTTAGAACTATGATGTTACTTTTTGGCATGAGTAAAAAACAAAGTAGTAGTTTCTTTCTCAGGATTAACATTTGCTAATGGTGTGAGAATATCTATAGCTTTGTAACAAATTCTATAGGTCAAAGCTATATTTTCAAAATTGAGCATGAGTAAAAAAAAGTAATATTTTCTTTCTTAGGATTAACATTTGCTAATGGTGAGAGAGTATTCATAGCTTTGTAATAGATTATATAGGTTAAAGCTATATTTTCAAAAAATATAGCTATATTTCAATTCTGAAAAATATAACTTTTACATATAAAATCTATTACAAAGCTATGGATATTCTCACACCATAAGCAAAGGTTAATCCTGACAAAGGAGCTACTATTTTATTTCTTACTCATGCTAAAAATAACCTGATTGTTCTAAGGACCTTAAAATGGAATGAAATTCAACTTCCTTCTATTTGGAAATTAAATCAAGTAATTGAACCTAAGCCACTTGAAAATTTTAACTTCCAAAAAATGTTGAACATCCCAATAGTGACGTAGAAGTCAACTTTTCATCTTTTAGAAAGATCACTCGAGTCTGATG